TTCACTCAACAGGAGTTGTTCAGAAAAGGGTTTCCGAGAGTCAATGACACAGTCTTAAAGACTTGATCATGAATCTCTTTCTTTCTTCCTGTGTGCTCTCCTTCGTACATCAGCCTTTCCCTTCGATCGTTCCCTAACATGGTGACAAGTAGGCTGTTCCAATTTTAGGCATGACGTGGAGAAAAAGAAAACGAAAGCCACTTTCATGTGTGTCTTTTTAGAAATGATGAAACGTTGCTAGAAATGGCCTATTTCTGTCATCTATCTTTGCCAGAATAAGCACACACACCCATTTCAAAATATGTCACCATTAATGTATTTGATTAATAGAATGCTTGGAACAGACAATGAAAAATCAACCTCATTTACAGCTATCCTGCTTTATGACAGAAATTGAACCGGTCCTGTAAACACTGGATGCATCTTGTGTTATGAAGTTCTTCAAATTTAGTAGAAGAGTAATGACACTCAGGATTTGCGATGCTTTGCTCAGTTTTCTCTTGCTAAGTGACAAATTCAAATTAAAAAGGCATGAGATGTATCTGGAAGGGAAAAGTGAGTAGTAAAAGCCAAATGGCTTAATTTCCATACTTGGATCCTATAATTTTAATATTCAATTTAAAATTTGTGCATATGAACAATCTTCAGATAATTCATGGAAAATATGTATGATATAAAAACTATGCATAGGTTTAAACTTTTTTTTTCAGTAGGATAAACCTGATGTTTTAAGTCTGTGTTCCTGGAACTTTAAAAATTATGTAATTTTATGTAATAACTTTGATAATTTTTATACTGAAATAATTGCATACAAAATTATTTAAGCAGATAATTTATGTATACACTGATACATAAAGAAATGTACCACTATTTCCAATATCCTTGTTTATGGCCTGCCTACTGTGATGAATTGAAAGTACCCAGTAAATACCTAGCTAGTATGTGGGGTTTTGTCTTCTATAATGTCTGTGACGTAGACTCTGTCCTTTAAGTGTAATGTGTAGTCATGCTAGATTATGAGCAAAGACAATTACATTTAGTGCAATAAAATAGATTGCTTCATTGAAACAGTTCTTTGAGGCTCAAAAGCACATACTGAATACACTGATTTAGACGTTTGATAAAAAATATAATAAGGATCTTTGATTTAGTGTGGAGAAAATGCTCCTGGATAATGTGTCATTAAATTCGGTTTCGAGTTTCTGTGTTACTATTGGTAGACTATATACAGCCTATTGGAAAGGTAGAGTCAAAGAAGGGGAAAGGGAGGGAGGGAGGAAGGTGTGTGTGTGTTTGTGAGAAAGAGAGAGAGAGAGAGAGAGAGAGAGAGAGAGAGAGAGAGAGAATGAATAATCTCCCATTTGCTGATTTGCTGTCCTGATGGCTGTAGTGGCTTGGAAGGAGAGAAAAATGGAGAAATGGAAGGAGAATTGGGAATAGCCAGTGTTGGAGCAGACCAAACCTGGGAGCCCAAAACTCAACTCAGGTCTCCCACATGAGTAAATTAAGTGTTTGATCTATAATCTCTTTTCTACCAAACTACATGTCAGCAAGAAGCAAAATTGGAAGTGAAGGAACCGTTTCTCAATTTAGCCTCTCCACCCGAAGATACAGAAATTCCATGGGATATCTTAAACATTAGTCCTTCTGCGCACCCCAATCTCGGCCCTTTATGGTGTTATTTATGGCACATGGAACAATAGTTGAAATTAAATTGTCTGTTTAATTGATGGGATGTGAATGCCAGGCACAAATGATGGAATCATTATGAAAATCATACAGAATATCTCTTTTTGGTTAACATAGATTTTTCATGGCAAATAAATGACTGATTTGAAAAAAGTTAGTAATTTTAAAATTGGTTGAAAGAAATTGGCAATGCAGATATAACAGAAATTTAGGATAATCCAGAATTATATTAGACTGATGAATCTCTGCGAAATAACAGGTTATAAAATAAAGGATCAGAAAGTGGGAACTTACTGACCATGCAGATGATTGAATGCTTTGGGGAAAGAATCATGTGGGCAGCTACAATTCCAGGAGATACTATCACAGCACAGGGATTTGAATTTTTCCATGCAGTAAAAGACACTGTAGTACTTCACTTTTTTTGAGTGTGAACTTGAGGTCTTTGAAGGTGTTAGGACTAGGATATGAGGATAATTTGGTTTACTCATAATCCCAGCAACTTGGAATAATATTTGTACTTGATGGGAATTTCAGAGTGTGAGAGATGATTGGGTAGCAGAATAGGTGTATAGTATGCACCGTAGGAACAGGAATGCTACTAGTAGATCTCCTAGAATGAGCATATGCTATGTTGCAAGAAAACCTGTTCTCCCTTGAATGTGTTGTATTGTGAGAACAGCATAGTGAAGATGAACAAATGCAATCATACGTTCAAATACAAATAATAACAGAATTCATGATCTCTTTATAAGAGAAGGGATTTTTTCTTTTGTTTTTTAAAGATTTGTTTATTTGTTTCTTTATTGGAAAGGCAGATATACACAGAGGAGGAGAGACAGAGAAGAAGAATTTCCGTCCCATGATTCACTCCCCAAGTGGCTGCAAAGGCAAAGCCGGGAGCAAGAACTTCTTTCCAGGGCTCCCACGCAGTTGCAGGGTCCCAATTTGGGCCTCCTCAACTGCTTTCCCAGGCCAAAAGCAGGGAGCTGGATGGGAAGTGGAGCTGGTGGGATTAGAACTGGCGCCCATATGGGATCCCAGCATGTTCATTAGAACTGGCACCCTTATGGGATCCCAGCGTGTTCAAGGTGAGGACGTTAACCATTACGCTATCTTGCTGGAGCCAAGAGAAGGGATTTTAAAAGGTATATAGAGCAGGTAGGAGGTATTAGCTAGTCTTGTAGAACAAATGGAGAAGTTTAAATATCAGTGGAATAGTGACAAAGGCCGTCAGTACTGCTGGAGGTAGGTTGAAGACAAAACCACATCGTGTACAAAGGGGAGTGGTGATGCTTCCTTCCAGTCAGAGACATTATCAGGAAGTGACAGATTAATTGTAAAAACATAGGCTGAAATTTTCATGAATACTTGGGTTGATTTTTTTCTTTTATTATTATTTTTTTAAATTTATGTTTTTATTTTTTGACCATCTTTACATATTTAATTGGGGTAAAAAAGGTTCAAGGGCTACAGGGAAGTGGGTAAGACCATCGTTTCCATACCACTTCCTTCATGTATCTGAGCTAAAAGTGGATACAGAGGGAGAAGCCCCACCCAGTTTCCCACCCACCCAAGTCCCGGATGTGGGGCATGCTCTGAGGGGTTGATTTTGTAGGTATGTGCATCATACTGTGAGCTGCTATTGAAGGTATGCGGCTTTTTCTTTTCATTAGTTAGGAGAATGAACGAGAGTTGTTGGTGTAAAAATCATGGAATAGGTGGATGAGCAGAAAAGAATGAACAAAGTAGTGTAAGAATGAAAAGTGGTAAGATTGTGATCAAGACTATGTAGATGTGTTTTATGTGATTTGCATACACATATGTACATGCAATTTTTAAGGTAATAGAATGACCCTGCCCTCCCTGAAAATATAATGCTAGGTGGCTAAACTCTGACTTATTTTGTGACATTTTGAATTCATGTTTGAAATTTTATTAAAGGATATTCTTTTGAGTAGCTGATTTTTAGAGCTGATTTTTATTTGCTTGTAATAGTGGTCAACAGAAGGCTACGGGTTAGTGAGTACCAGGCAAGTGAAAGGGAACCATCCACAGGCCAGCACTGTGCCCTTTTCATTGTGGAACTGATTCACATTTTCTCAGTGTGCTCTTCAGCTGAATTTGCTTAGTTTATGGTTTCTGTAGTTACTGAATGAATAAAATATGAATTAGAATTCACTACTCAGAAATCTGGGCTCATGTTAAGATTCTAAATTCAGCTTGCTCCTAACTCCTGGATATAAGAGTGGTTCTAATGCAGAAATTTGGAAAAGGAATTGGTTTGCTCTGAGGATTGATCCTCAACTTTAGCAATAGTAACATCATCTTCTAAAAGCATTGTCATCTTTTAGACTTTATATCAGTAATTTTATCATTTTGTTTCTGTTTAGTTTTATGAGATAGTATCACAAATAATGTGGGAGAATATCAGGTCACTTATACCAGTTCTCATAGTTTTGCTTTTCTTTCACTATGTATTTGTCTTTGACACACTGAAGTTGTAAAATTTAAGTTGACAATTTGCTTTCATGGTTGTTTGACATACAATTTTTTTCTTTTTTTTGCCTGTCCATTTTAATTGGGTTATCTTCATTCTTATTAAACTATAGATCTTTTCATATTCTGGCTGTTTATCATTTGATGTTTGTTTCTTTGACAAATATCCTGTCACAGTTTGTGGGTTGTTTTTGTCACTTTATGATTTTTTTTAACATATGAAGGTTAAAAATTTTATTATAGTTGCATTTTTTAATCATTCCTTCATAGCCAATATATATTGATCCTTTGCAAAATATTCTGATAGTATCAATATGCTGGCTAATAATTTCAGTGTGGACAGGTATGGTTGTGATTTGTAGACTTTTTAGGTTACTCCTTCTAAAATGTAGAAATTGGTTGCCAGTCATACCAATACTGATAATAGTACAAATTCGGCATTGGTGCTTGGTACACAGGTGGGTATGAACGTGTTACATTCAGCATATGCCATGTACAGAAGACATTATTGAAGTTTGTGCTTGTCACAGGGCAGTGAGTCATTTGCCCTGGAATCTTTAACTTTCCTGATAATTTACTTGGATGTAGTAGTAATTTTGTGGAAAACTAAGTGTTTGCTCTACTTTCAAGGATAACATACCATATCAAATCTTATTCCCGATTAAATTACATTTTTAAAAATTTGTGGCTGTACATACATATTTGGTTTCTTATTTCACAAGAGTAATTCATCACAGATATTGCTTGCTAAGATGCCCTAGATTTATGGTGAGGTTAAGAATCTGTTTTTAAAGATTGGTTTCTGTTTGCAGAGACGAAATGGAGAAGATATACCGGTAGCCCAGACTAAGAACATCAATCACAGAAGATTTGCCGCTTCCTTCAGATTGCAAGAAGTGACAAAAACTGACCAGGATTTGTATCGCTGTGTAACTCAGTCAGAACGAGGTTCGGGTGTATCCAATTTTGCTCAACTTATTGTGAGAGGTAAAGTGAATTGTTTGCATTGCATAAAATTGCATGGCTTTACTAGAACAAAAGAAACTATAGGTCATTTGATTGATTTTCATTTTTTTTTATGGATTACATTGCATTATGTGACACAGTTTTATAGGCACTAGGATTCCCCCCTCTCCCCCTGACCCTCCCCCTGTGGTGGATTCCTCCACCTTGTTGCATTAACACAGTTCAAATTCAGTTGAGATTCTTTCATTGCAAGCATCTACAAAGCAGAGTCTAGCATCTTATTGTCCAGATAAGTTCAACGGTTTCTTGGGGAGACCATCTCTGGTCTGAAGGTAGAGCCGACAGAGTATCACCCCACATTTGATTGATTTTCAAACCACAGTGGTCTTCACTGTAAGTTACCATAAAGACCACATCGTTTGAAGTTTTGATAATTTCTTAAAGTCCAATTATAACCATACTATAAAGCTGATCTATCAAGTTTACAGCAAGTGTTTTTTTTACCAAACTGGTAATTATAAGGCTCTAGGGGGGCTAATCCTATTAAAATGTCTTATTCCATGCTTCCACCATCTAGTTTCCATATAATATCTAGCTCTTTCTGTTTAAGACAATGTTGTGGATACTACTTTTGGTTTTTAAAGCCTTAGGGGGAGGTAACATCCAGGTCAAAGGTTTTATTATTGTCTAAACCTATAAATTTTATTCATAAGAAAATGTGGCAATGCATGTTTATGAATCCTGGTGCATGTTTGAATTTAAGATAATTAATACTGTTAAAATATTTTTAGTATTCTTGCATTACTAGAGGAATGGAGGATTTATGATGTAGTAATAACTACATATATTAACCTTTGGAAAGTATGCATAAATGCAAAAACACTTTACAGTCATTTGAAGTTTACTGAACAATATTGTGTTACAGATACTGCAATAGTTTTGTAAAGGTACAGTTAAAATTAGAACTTAGGACTATTTAAAAAACTGCTTTTAAAGCATATAAATTGTAATTAATTGTCATAAGTGAAAATAATGTTAAATTTTGGAACGTTTTAAAAAGATATATTTAGTTTCATTTGAAAGACAGACTTTTGCAAATACAGAAGAGGAGAGAGAGAGGTCTTCCATCCGTTGTTCACTCCCCAAATGGTCACAGTGATCACAGCTGAGCTGAACCCAGCTGGGAGCCAGAAGCTTTCTCTGAGTCTCTCGTGTGGATGCAGGGTCTCAAGGCCTTAGGCCATCCTCCATTGCTTTGCCAGGCCATAAGCAGAGAGCTGGATCAGAAGTGGATCTCGCAGCTAAGACACAAACTAGCACCCTTGTGGGATGCTGGCATTAAAGGGTGGGTGATTAGCCTGATGTGCCCTGTACCAGCTCCTGGAACACATTTTAAGGAAAAATTTGTGAAATCCTAATGAAACAAACAGACAAACTGTATTGACGTTTGTCAGAAGCATCAGGGTACATAAGAATGAGTCCTTTCAAGATGAGATCTTGCATTTGAGAAAGAGCTGCCCAGGTGATTTCTGTGAGAGAAGGGTTGATTTAGAATATGATGGTGATTTGAATGTGTTAGCCCAAGGTTGCTAATATTGTCAAAATATATTTTTATAGTTTTGTCCATTTTGTATGTATAATCATATGTTATTTTTATTATTTTAAAAATATTTATTAATTTTTATTGGAAAGTCAGATTTACAGAAAGGAGGAGAGACAGAGAGAACATTCTGTCTGCTGGCTTACTCTTCAAGTGGCTGCAGTGGACATTACTGAGAAAATCCAAAGCCTGACGCCTCTTCCCTGTGACCCACATGGATACTGGGTCCCACGGCTTTGGGCCATCCTTTACCAATTTGCCAGACAACAATCATACATTATTTTTATAAGTTTTCAAAATCTGGGCGTGGCTTGGTGGCTCAGTGGGTAAATCATTGCTTTGCACGAGTCAGCATCCCATATGGGCACCACTTCATATCCCAGCTGCTCCACTTCCTTTCCAGCTCCCTGCTTGTGGCCTGGGAAAGGAGTAGTGGACAGCCCAAAGCGTTGGGACCCTGCAGCCTAGGGGGAAACCCAAAGGAAGCTCCCGGCTCTTGGTTTCAGGGCGGCTTGGCTCTGGCTGTTACACCTACTTGGGGAGTGATAAAGCAGATTGACGATCTCTCTCTTTATAAATGTCATTTTCCAATAAAGGTAAAATTTTTTAAAAATTGAAAATCTCTAAGGCAAAGAGAGAGTGAGTGCCAGGCAGAAAGAGAGGGAGAACTCTCCTGGTTTATTCTCCAAATCTTCATAATGTCTGGGAACCATGAACGCTGTTTGGGTCTTAAAGGACGAAGCCAATTACTGCTTCTAGTGTCTAGGTTAGCAGGAAGCAGGACTCAAACCAACGCCAGGACACAAGCCAGACACTAGTAAGATATCGTATTTTACCTGCTCAGTTAAATGCTGCTCCCATCCCAATGTTTTAGTTTGTGCAGTCTTTAATTTGTATAGGTTTTCCTTTGCTAGCTGTTTTATTTCAAAATCAATTTAAAGGAATACATTTTCTTGTTTCTCTAGATAACCACCAAATAAATATTGTTAACCAGAAACATACCCTTGGATGTCAGCTGTCCTAGTGTTTGAACTGTGCTGAGAATTAACTACCATGACAGGTCCTATCTCTCATTGGCACTTTCAAAGCTGACATCCTGTTACATGGATACAAAAGATGGTAATTTTAAAGGAAATTTTGGGGGCAGTGATATGAATGGTCTTTAATAAGAACTGGCATACGATTGCCTGTTGTCAAAGATGACCCATGGGTAAGAGTTTATTAGTGCATTTTCTTCTAAACTAAAAGTGACAGGATCTGCTTCAGGCTTTTTTTTTTTTATGTTGCTGTTTGTTATAAATGAAAATTTCACTGAGAAATTCTTGTACAGAAGAGTATTGATCTGTGTGTTCACAGTCAGGGGAAGAAGAGCAGTTTATGCTGAAACAGAACTGACTTTGTCAAGGCTGCATTGCTTCCACATCATTCTGAGTAATGATCAAGTCTGTAACCTGTGAAAGCCGATCTTTATTGACAAAGAAGTTTTTATAGAGATGAGATGAAGACCAGATTTTTTTCCCAATGGGTACACAGAAAACAAGTTTCAAAAAATCTGTTATTTACAAGCTTCAAACAGAAAAGCACTAACTGCATAGTCTGATTTCTTTTATACATTTTTATTGTTCGTTCTCTATCCGATTAGTGATTGCTCTCCTCATCTGTCCAAATAAAAGGTCCACTTACATCACTGATCAGCTGACCTACAACAAACTTATAAAATTTTTTCCATTGCCTCAACTAATACACAGTTTGCCTTACAAAGTTGTTTTATAGCTATCAAGTTTACCTGTGACAGCAGCAACACTCTACTTTTAAAATCTAAGATGTAGTTATCTATATTTTACGTCTAAAATGCAGTCAGTGTTTTTTTTAAAGATTAATTTTCATTGGAAAGTCAGATATACAGAGAGGAAGATCTTCTGAGTGTTGACTCACTCCCCTAGTGACTGCAATGGCCGAAGCTGAACCAGCCTGAAGCCAGGAGCCTAGAGCTTCCTCCAGGTTTTCCGCATGCGTGTGGGGGTCCTAAGGTTTGGGCCATACTCCATGGCTTTCCCAGACCACAAGAAGGGAGCTGGATGGGAGCCGGATCAGTGGGATTGGAAGCGCTGCCCATATGGGATCTGGGCGCACAAGACAGGGATTTTAGCCACTAGGCTACCTCTCTGGGCCCAGTGTTTTGGTTGGTTTTTAGATAATGTTATATGGACCTGTATTGTTGTGCTATATCCATTAGCTGCAGCACAGTATCCCATATGAGCACAAACCCTGGCTGTTGCAGTCTTTTGGGGACTGAATCAACAAATGGAAAGTTTGACCCTTCCTGCTCCCCTTTCTTCTCATCCTCTCCTCCTTTTCTTTTTCCTTTTTTCTTCACTTCATTTCACTTCTTTTCTTTCCTTCTTTTTTTTTTTTGTTGTTTAGGATTTATTGATTTTTGTTGGAAAGTGAGATTTACTGAGAGCAGATACAGAAAGATGTTTCATCCACTGGCTCACTCCACAAGTGGCCACAAGAGGAACACCTGAGCCGATCTGAAGCTAGCAGCCAGCAGTTTCTTCTCACTCTCCCACGTGGGTGCAGGGTCCAAAGGCTTTAGGTCATCCTAAGTTTAGGCTTTCCCAGTCTACAGGCAGGGAGCTGGATGGGAAATGGGGCAGTGGGTATATGAACCAGCATTCATTTGGGACCCTGGGTGTGCAATGCAAGGATTTATCCGATAGCCTACCATGCTGCCCCCCCTCCCTTTTACTGCATTTTTCTCTTATCCTCAAATTCAACCATTCCAATAAGTGGCTGGATTCAAATTGGTGGTTATAAAATAAAATTAGCTAAAGCAACATTTGGCCATTACAAAATCTGTGAATATCAGTAGTCTGTTACTTTGTTCTTTATTTCCAGTGAAAATTAAGCAACTTGCTGAACATTTGAGTGGATCTGCCCATTCATTGTCCTTGTTCAGAGCAGTTTCTCAACCTTGCTCCAAGGTCAGGTATTTAAAATCCTAAGAAGTTGGGGTTGGTGTCAGTACAACCCAGTGTAAGACATTACTAGATAGTTTAGAAATACCAGTATTTCCTGACTTCAGTGACTGGAAGCAAGGAGATAGGGCTTAGTCTTGGCTAATCTATAAATCAAAGGTCTAGATTATTTGAGGTTATTACTCAAGATAACATACAATTTATGAACCTTACTTCATTAACCTAGGATGGAAACTGTTTTTTTTTTTTCCCCCAATCTTATCCAGATGCAGATTAAGAGAGAACAGCCATCAAAAATTCTTAAAAATGCTGTGGCCAGATATTGTAGAAATAATGGAAGTGTCAAATAGAGACCTTTGTGTGTAGGACTCGAGCTTAAAGTATGTTATTCAGAGTAGTTGTTTATTCTATTTTGGTAGGAAATAATTGAGGAAATATTT